TCTCTCAAATCCAATTCCAAGGTTTTTTTATTTTGCTCATTATAAGTCAGGGTTGGATCTCAAATCTCTCAAATCCAATTCCAAGGTTTTTTTAAACACTCTTCCAAAGTTCCTTGAGAAATGACTATAAATATTCACCTTTTATTTCTATCTTCAGATTCTAACTCTTTCTCAGTTGCCACCTTGCCCCACCCTCTAATCCCAACCTCATTATTTGTAACAAATCTCTTCTACTCTTTCCCAAGTATACATTTTCTTCTTTTGAATCCTCTTATAACTCCTTTACCTCGGTTTTAATTTTCTGTTTTCTGAAGATTAACGTTCCATTTTGCCTTGTTTTGTGTCATCTTCTAATTTGTCATTATTCTCCATCACAATTCTCCCATATTGCCAAAAATACCATTTTTCAGTGTTGCATTTTTAGTCCCAATATCTAAATCCATCATCTACCCAAATTAATCCAGCTCTCTTATAGTTTTCACTCCAAGTCTCTCCAGGTACTCTTCAGTTTGTGTCTTTTCCTAACAAGTTTTCCCCACATTGCAAAAGGGCAACCAGTCCCAGATTTGGAAATCTCTGCAACTACTACTTGATATTCACAATACCAGTACCCATCTTCCCTATTCTTGTTCTAGGCCTCATTCCCTCTTTTAATCCCCCTAGAAAATCCTAGAAAAACGTGTAGACTGATTAAATTGTCATGTAGACTAAGACAGCTACCATCAATGAGAGTCTGGATTTCTTTTACTAAAGATAAAACTTATGTGATTTTTTTGTTTCTAAGCAATAGTAAGCGAATTAAAAAATATTACAGTGAGAAAAAATGTTCATTAATTCATGTCAAATTCAGGTAATAAAAATCCATTGGATTTTTATCTTTATAATTTTTTTACTATTTATTTTAAAAAATCTGTCTTTTTTATTATTTAAAAGAGATCCTTGTAAATATTATTTTTTAATTACTTATTTTAAAAAATGATGAATGTAGGTAAAATAATTTTAAAATAAGTGGCATATTTCAAGGTACCTTTTTCCATCCCAATATTTTTTGTTTTATGTTTATCTTATAAAAATGGTGGAAAATTTTATATGTTCAATCGATATCTAGTTCCATATTATTATTTCACTGGTGACCAGAAAGATAAAATATTGCTTTTTTCTTTTCTTGTCTCTAGTAAGAGTTTTTGGAATTTACAGGGTAAAACTTAGAAATGCAAAGAGGAAAAGTAATGTAATGGTGTGTTGAATGACTCGCCTGAAAGACTTCGGTGATTAGCAGACACTAAGCTAACATTGTTCATTTCATAGCAATATACACTTTAGTCAGTGCAAAGAACAGATTGTAAAAGCAAAACAAAACCAAAAAAACCTCAAGTTGAATTGCACAGTCATCTTAAGAAAATAAATCTCTCAAAATTTCTCATTTTAATCTATAGCCTCAATATTTTTTTGTGAGCTGAGTCCATTTGCAAAAATAGCAATTTCTGTATCAGAAAAAGAAGTTATATCCAAACATAAGTTACAGAAGCTTAGATATATCCATATTATCTTACACAAATATTTTAAAAGCAGTGACTTGTGGAGAGAACTTAAAAAATCAAATGATATGACAATTTTTGTAGAAATCTGTAAGAATTGAGGTGCATGTCGTATCAGTAACATCAATTGTTTCTTTTTCTAAACTGATATTCTTGAAAGCAGCCAAATACCCATCAAAACACTTCTATCTGCTCCAGTAAAACACACACTGTAACATTTATGTGTATTAATTAACTTAAACATTTGTATTGCTCACTAAACTGAAGCGTTTTTTTTTTCACTCTATCTGCATTGTGTTCAACAGAAATAAAATATAATACTAAAAATTAGTGATATTTAATTTATAAATAAAGAAAACCAGGAAAAGTTTGATTTTCCAATTCATTGGATTGGCAGGTAGTCACGTTAAGAAAAGTGTGACAGTTTTGTTATGTTCAAAAGAGATTATACACAAGTCACACCAGCGAAGTGACATGAAGGTCCACCTGCCCAGTGTTTTGCAGAAGCAGAAAATGAAATCAACACATTTGTTACAATAACACCAAAAAACTCAAAAAGAAATATCAAAACTATTTTTAAGTGCATTACAGAAGCAAATTTTATGTTAAGGACAAATTCCACATTCAGTCATTACTTCAGAAAAACTAGGAAACAAGTAGTACATGCCTGGAAGAAGTCAAGAAACATGAACAGTTGATGCAGTTTTCATTAAGCTTAGAAAATGTAGCTTTTTCTACCAACATTCACGAGTATTTTTATTGCTTCTTTTTTTTTCTTCCTAACAAATTTTATGCTAGTACTGGCTGTCAGAGCTTTTAAGCACTTTAAAATGGACAGTACAGCATACCTTGAGCTAGAATTTTTCTTATTAAAGTTTCATTTGTAACAAAGTTAAAAAAAAAGATGTAGAAAGGAAGAAAGATCCATTATTTAACAGATAGTTTATGTACAATGTATGTAGTAAAACTCCACAATAGAAAATAATATACAGTATGGAAATTATGAAGCATCTTTAATACAGTTTTCTGAAATAACTAACTGTTTGTTTTAGTTTATTCTACTCAGCTGGAGTAGAGTATTTTCCATGGGTAATGTAAATACAAAGCATGTACTGCAGGACATATTGCAAGTGAAGGGTTTGTTGTACATAATATGGTTGTAACATAATATGGTTATGTTAACAAACGCAATTGTGTGTAATGCACATTAATATTTTAATGTGAAAATGAAAAAGAAACTTACTAATATGACCAAACTTTTTTATCTGATATTTTACTTTTCTCTGTTGACAATTTCCTTGCTGCTGTCATTATAGTCAGCTCTCAACTCTTGATTATAAAATACCTCCCTATTACTATGTGTTTCAAACTGTGAAGGCATCCCTGAGGTGAAAATGCCAATTTGTCCCATATTTCTAGTTTCAGCTTAGCTGGGATCATGCTTCTTTGTTGAGTCAGCAGAAATGATTCTTGGATTTAGAAGAAAGTCTACAGTAACATTTCAGGTTTCAATAAACAGCAATTAGGAGTGGGCTTCAACCAGTACCCAAGACGTTTGTTGGCATTTTACTCATCACTTCATCTCTAGATTCAGAATAGTCCCTTACTTATTCCCACAAGAATAGTACTCTGTTGTTTTTCAGTGTTTAACTCTCTACATTTTACTATATCTCAGAATAACCTCCACTACAGTATCTTATTTGTAATGTTTCATCTTACTATCAGTCTATTACTTTTTTTGATTGGAATGAACATATAAAACCAGACACTGGTGATTATGCTGTTTGTTATTACCAAAGAAAATGACATAATTTCAGCTACTTTTACCACTGCTAACAGTTGGTAACCACTGGCAAATGCTGACTTTCCAGTGGCAGCAGACATAGTACTTACTGTGCATGAAAAAAATAACAGTTTGTTTCATTTTGGTTACACATCATTAAACAATGACAGATAATTTATCCTCCATCCAAAATTAATTTCCTCCATATAGGTCAAATTATGATTTCTGGAATCAGAAATCCGAGGGCTTTTTTTTAGTGCCATACCTATTTGCTAAATGCATAACTATGAAACCAGCATTGATTTTTTTTTTTTCAAGGGTGATCTTAAAGGAGTACAGTATGAACCATGTCATGTGGCTCTCTTTGGTTTATACACGGGGATTTTTTATGTTCAAGACAAAGCAATATTTATTAGAACCTACAAAAGGACCCTCTGGAAACAGTCAAGGAAGGCTTTTAATGAGCACTGAGCACCATTTTTATCACAAGATATGGCAGAGGTGTCTGCAGACATGGTAGGTTAGAAATGTGTATATATGAAAAAACTAGAAGTCTTTTGTCCTTAAGGGATTTCCTTTAGGACAGTGATAAAAGTGTATTTTCTTTTATTTTATTTTTTTCCTTGTCTGATTAATTAAGAATGGGTAAATGACCAAGAAACAGACATTGTAACTCTTCCTAGACAGAGGGATCATTTATGAATGTAGTATTTTACATTATTCTTCTAAATGGAGGAACATAAAGACAAATGAATGAATTCACATTATAAAAAGTAACCAATTCTAGCAGAGAACCTGTATGGTTTACTATGCTTGAAGATATACATGGAATGGATGGTTCTATACTGATATATTCCTAACAATAATAGTTTTAAAATTAACTCAAAAATTTTTAAAAAATCCCACAGCATCTGCCATAAAATAATTCTGAGAAAATATAAGTAAGTACTTGTAACATTCACAGAAAGATTACATTAGAAGGGTGAGCTTATAGATGAGTCAGAGCTAACCAAGTGGTAAAATCAATGGACTGATTCAAAACATCATATTTTGTCTTTTTTAAGTGAACATATTTTTTTTCAAATCACCTCTAGTACAAAACTTGTCTGTGTTGCTTTTTATGTATCATAAATGTTATTAGAGTAGCTTAATCAATTTGATGTCAAAGCTTATCCAGGCTTTACTGGTGCCTCCAACTGGAGTATTGAATGCTTTGGTACAAAACATTTCTTTGGTACAAAGGGTTAGAATGACAGCATACAATTTCATACTTACAACTCAGTCTTTTAATCAACTGTACTTCAGAACTGTATAAGTAGAATAAAATTTTCTGCTGTTTTAAAATGTCACAAATGCATATGAAGATAATTACTTGCACAGCTAATAGACTGGTTTAGTATCTTCTCTGTAGATTGCTTTCTGGCTATAGAATAGTCCTGTCAAAGTTTAATCCTTTGCAGTATACAATTTTAATCAAATGCATAGAACTGCTAATATTTCAAATATTATGATATGTGTACCGAGACAGAAATGTGTAGCTTGTTGAATAAGCCATCTAAAATTACTTGGCTCTCTGAAATGATTTGACAATTTCAGTAAAAAATGGGGGGGTTAATATGTATTTTGGTTTTGTTTTTTGTTTGATTTAGATATTTGGGTAATTTTTTTTTTTCTTAATTAACCAAGGTGAGCCAATTCAGCAATACTCATCTTGATTGAGGGATATCTATGATTACCCAACCTATAATGACTGTTAAGAGGGAAGGTTTTGAGGTATGGCTTTCTCTTCTCTATGTTTTTTTAAATAGTCATTTTATTAGATGTTAATTTTAGTCTCCAACATGATAACTTCTGATTACGATACTGATTTTCTATAAAAGCAGTTTGGTCACAGAGATCAGTTTTATGATTCTGATTCTCAGTATCCAGCTGCATACCTTCATTCTCTACCTTTACAGACAAGCTGTAGTCTGTCTTGTCTTTACCCTTCAGGGATTGTACCTACCGAAACAAAACTGGGCTAACAAACATATGTATCAAGAAAGTATTTAACAACCAAAGTACCTCTACTCACTAGAGCATTAATTTATTTTCCCAAGCTTACATCTTAGTGATAGATACAAAAACTGTAGTAGATGTTTTTCTCATACCGGACACAAAACAAGAATTTCAATAGAACTGAAAACTCCCTCTCTGCTAGCTCTTATCTTTTCCTTTTTTGAGCTGCAACTGATTATGTAAATGTAAGGAAAGAATGCAACATGACGTCCATGGTCTCCTCAAGTAGCATCTCTGAGTGTGGCACTAAACCTGCATTATATGGGAAAACTGTTGTTTAAACATGTCTTAAAATGGCTTTTGGTGGTCTCTTTACAAACACATGCTTCTTCTTCCCAGCACCCCCCAGGACAAGTGTTATCCATGCAGGAATGTCCTGGGAAGGTGTCCTGAGGTGTTTCCCATTGGCCTTTGTTAACTCCTTCCTGTGATTGGGTGTTCCTGTAAGCCCCTTGAGACTTCTAATTGGTTACTCTGTGAATCCTCCTAAACCCTATAAATGTAACGTCCCCCACAATAAAGCTCTCTTGCCTCCTCTCCACGCCCGGTGTCCGGTCTCTGTGCCTGCCATGGAGCCATGCGCGGTGGGGGAGGGGAGGGCACCTCTCCCCTCCAGGCTCAGGGCCAGAAGAAAACCCTGAAGAAACCCCTGGAGTTCCCTTTCCCCATCCTTCAAGGCGTCGCAATGGTTCTTGAGATGGAAATGGAAGTAGAACTGGACCGCCCCACGTCATGGGTGGGGAAAGGGATCCAGATCTGAGTGTTGTTAGTTTTCTCTTCCTCAGAGGTGCAATCCTATTGATTGATGTATAGACAAGCATGTCAAAATCTAACACATACATGGGCTAGATTCATTATGTTTTCCACCTTTTGCTTCTTGTCAGTTTGATCTCTACTGGAGGGACCATAGAAGCCACTTATCATTCTTGTTGCCAAAGGGCATCTATGCTGTTCGTTTACTCAGCCTTGCAGAGATATATTTAACTTGCTAAAATTAACAAAATAGCTGCTGTCTGCACATAATTTGTAGAAATAAATATAAGTTTTTTCACTGTGCACTCATGGATATGTACACTCATGGGTAGTAATGTAGATCTAATACTCAAAACATTTATTTTCAGACAACTGACAAAATTGGTATGGTAAAGACAATCTTTTCAGCCAGATTCCTCTTAAAATATTTTGAAAACTCTTACAGACAACCTGAAGAGGAAAAGTGTATTTCACACAAGCTTTTAACATTTGTTTTTGTTCTCTGATTGAGAATTAAACAAAATATATCAAAATGCACTACAATAAAATTTCTGTGCCTGTGTTCCATGGAAACAGCACATGAAACCACTGAATGTATTTTCTTTTTTAAAAATATGTAGTTGACCTCATCAGATGAAAGGAAACAAATGGAATGGAAAAGGATGATAACACCTTGCTACAGTGAACTCACAAGACTCAGACTTTTAAGAAAAATGAAAATTAACGTCATGAAGGCTACACCATGATGTACCATACATGATAGCACAAATCCAGCACTAGATTTTCAGAGGTGGGGTGAGGTTTTTTCACCAAGTAAATAGATGTTTCTTCTGAATTTTGGTTTAAGTACTTCATGGGCTATAAAAAGAGAAAGACACCACTTCAGTATTTTAAGTATTGTCACAATTTAAATATTTTTTATTCAGTCTTTATATTTTATGTTACACTGTGATAAGTTGTTTTGAAGGGAAACATGACATATTTAATCCAGAAAACATTGAAAAAGAATATTGCAGAAATGCCTAACCACTTACCATTTCTCCTGTGAAACAAATTTTGTATAAAATCACCATGGTGTCAAAGGTACATTTTTCTTTTCAAAGATCTCTATTATCATCTATACAACAAGGTCTGCACACAAAGGAAGCTATAACACATTTTGAAAGAATCCGTAGTACCTCAAAAGAAAAATGTTACTAAAATACAGCACTAATTTTCGTACATCTTCATTTTACTATAACCTTTAAAACACCCTTCAGAGAAATTGATTCTAGAGCCTTCACACAGATACCTCAACAAAAACATTTTCCATGTCAACTGGTATTTAGAACTGAAATTCTCCAGTTAAGCAACAGCATGAACCAGAGGGCTTCTCTTGACAGGGACAAAATGTAGAATCATAGAATCATTTATTTTGAAAAGAACCTTTAAGATCAAGTCCAACCATTAATCTAACACTACCAGGTCCACCCCTAAACTGACTCTCTCATTGACACATCTACATGTCTTTTAAATACCTCCCAGGATGATGAGTCCACCACTTCCCTGGGCAGCCTGTTCCAATGCTTGACAACCCTTTCAGTGAAGATATTTTTTCCTGATATCCAATCTAAACCTACCAAGGAGAATTTGAGACCATTTCATCTCATCCTATCTCTTTCACTTGGGAGAAGGGGCCAACCCTCACCTTTCTAGAACCTCCTTTCAGGTAGTTGTAGAGAGCAATAAAGTTTCCCCTGAGCCACCTTTTCTTCAGGCTAAACAACTCCCACTCCCTCAACCACTCCTCATAAAACTTTTACTTTAGATTCTTCACCAGCTTTGTTGACTTTCTCTGGACACATTCCAGAATCCCAATGTCTTTCTAGCAATGAGGGGCTCAAAACTGAACACAGGATTCAAGGTACAGCCTCACCACTGCTGAGTACAGGGGGATCACCTAGTCCTGCTGGCCACACAATTTCTGCTACAAGCCAGGATACCACTGGCCTTCTTGGCCCCCCGGGCACATTGCTATCTCATGTTCAACTGACTGTTGACCAATACCTGCAAGTCCTTTTCTGCCAGGCAGCTTTCCAGTCACTCCTCCCCAAACCTGTAGTGCTGTATGGGGTTACTGTGACCCAAGCACAGGACCTGTCCCTGCGCCTTGTTGAACCTCATAATTACCCTCGGTCTATTGATCCAGCCTGTCCAGATCGCCCTATGGAGCCTTACTGCCCTCCAGCAGATCAACACTCACATGATTTTGTGATCGCCACACCTCAGATGGCCTCCAAACATCACATCCATCACAAGTCTTTCTCTGTTCACAAAGAACAGGTCCAGCAAGGTCATTTCCCCAGTAGATTCCCTCACCAGCTGTGTCAGGAAGTTATCTTTCACACAGTACAGGAACCCTATTGACTGTTTCCACTCCACTGTATTCTATTTCCATCAGATGTTTGGTAAGTTGAAGTTCCCCAAGTCACTGTAATTGAATTATTACCCTGCACATGTGTCAAAAAACTGCATGTTCCAATAGCAAGGGTGTTTGGCTCTCCCTTATATGAACAGATGATTGCCAACAGCACAGAATTTCAGGATACTAATGTGTTAAAATACATATAGCCAAGCAAACCCAACCCACAACCCTAAGCAGTTGACAGATTTTCGAAGACTAAAAAATTAAGGGAAAGCCTATTTATTCACTTCCTGAGTTAGAGATATCTGGAAGGGAGAAAGGACAGTCCTCAATAGAAAACATCTCCTTGACCAAGAAAGCTTTCTGCAAAGAACAGAAGGATTCCCAAAAGGGAATAGGAGTGTAACTGGAATGAATGGGGATTCTGGCTGAGGGCTTATGGAGTGCTGTTCCACAATAACAGATGATCAGAGTAAATGGTTTTTTGCTTGTCTGGTACAATCCTGATAATTAAAAGTCTTCTTTCCTGCAGAAAAGACAGTCTCCTTCACAGAAATTCAGACTTATTCAAGGAAATCATTTGACAAATGCTTAACATTTTATATGTTTAAATAACCAGTTGTGAAATCCTGTTCCTTTGAAACAAGAACTTGCTGTAACTGAAATATCCAGCTTACACCAGAACTGGAATTTGCAAGTGCATAGGAGGGTCTAGTGAAGAGGGGAATTCAATAACTTTCTTGGGGAAAGTTTGCAAGTTCAACTCTTTTAATTCACCAGGTATTTATATACATGCTTTTAAAAAATGTAACTGACTTTTTTTGACCAAGAAGGATTTTTTAAATTCCTTTTTTGACTTTGACACATAATTAGTTAGTGTTATTTAAATACAAATTTTATATGTTCAGGATGATTATTGATGCTTTGTTTTCTACCAAGTTAACCCACTGAGCCATAATGTATGATTTAAGACCAGTCCGTTTAGACAGTTTTAGGATATATATAATCACACTAATTTATTCCAATTCTATTTGTTTCCTTGGAAGTTTCTCAAATACTTTGATGCATTTTACTTCTCTGTCTTTCCCTTCAAAGTCACAATGAATTCCCGTTAGGGGTATTGTAAGAATATATCCTCAGGGTTATGATTTATTCTTAGGCAGACTGACTAAAACTTAGTTTTCTTCTATCTCACTATTACTCAAGGGAGATTTCAAAATGTTAAGTCTCATTGGCTTAGATTCAAAGGGAATTTAGGAGCTAATGCATCTCAATACCTAATTTTTAATCACTGGTCCCAAGGTTGGAATCATAAAGATCCCTATATGATTCATTAGAGAAGTCAGACATCTTAAAATAAGCTACACAAAAAATGTGCTTGCTAAAGAGGGATCTATGTACACATTTAATTCTTCTTCTGTTTTGAGAAGATACAGCCTATGACTCTCACTGTCCTGTCCCAGGGAACTGTTCTATCTCACCTATTCTGGATGCCAGGATGAACATATCAGATATATATTGAAAATGTTTTCACTTTACATAGAGTAAGAGATACCAGTCACTCAAGAAGGATTAGGCTGTTAGATTTTAATCTTGTGATAAAAACCTTCAAGAAAGGTGTGAGAAAGCCTGAAAGCTGTATTTTCCAAGATTTACCTTGACATTTCATTCACTGACTTTCATTTGTATCACAGATGCTTTGGTTATGTTTATGGTGTCAAATAGAATGACCTAGGACTAACATGGCTATGATTAAATTTTCATTCGTCCCTCATACAGGAGGCCTTATCCATAGTGCTTGGTAGGAATACCCTTAGCTTTTTTCAAAAGCTTTTGTTATTTGTTCTTCTTCAGACTACTTTGCACAACCTGCAAAGGCATTAGCAATCATGAACCAAAATGGTTAAAGAGCGTCAGATCCTCAACTTTATGTCCTGAATATTAAGTTTACTAGTATGACCTTTATGGCCTAGGATGAAATGCAAGACCTCCCGATTCTCAGGGGAAAGCATTACTATTACACAACTGTTAAGAAGTGCTACCTCTTATTTTCACTTTAGCCTGGTAAGTTTATTTCCCTAGAATAGGCAGTGGTGGGGGGCCACATCACTCACTTTTATGTAGAAAATAGATGTGAAGTTGATTTCCTATAGAGAAGACCAAAAATAACCCCAACCAACAAAAACAAACTAGCATTCTCACATTTTAGAGGAACAGTGTAACACAAAAGAGAAATTTCAAAGTGGGCTTGAGTAAAAGTCATGACGAGAAAAAATCTGAGAAACGATTTTATGAATCCTAATGAGGCAAGGACAAGAGAAGTGAATCAAGCTATCCAGTTAAAACAGAATTTTTGGTCATATGCAAAGGCAGAAGGTCAATGCAGCAGATGAGGTTTTCAGGATCATAGTTCTGTGCTAATACCTCTTTTCTAGTGATTATAATTTTATTTTTTGTTAATTTATTCCATGACATCAGATTAGTATAAGCAGTGTCTTCCCTATTTCAGACTGATCTGTACTTTAGTCAGATCTGATGATTCCTTCTAATGTATGAACACATCCAAGCAGGAAAAGGATAAATGTGCATACATCTTGTGTTCTGATGCCATGATGGTCCTGCAGTGTCCAGGAACAAACAGGGAGTCCCACAAAAAAAAGAGTCATAAACTGGACTGTCGTTGCTTGACTTGTAACCTGAATGACTCTGGTTTGTAAGGCAGCTACTTTTTCAGGCACAACCAGGGTAAAGGAAGTATTAGATACCACAGGAAATGTTATATAGACAGTAACCCTAAACAGTCACACAGTGCATGCTTCATTTCAGGAAGACACATGCAGAACATATATGCAAAAAAAAAGGAAATATAACACAAAGACTACTAGTCAAAACCAGAAATACTGTATGCATTGTAAAACCCTTGACTTAACATTTACAAAAAAACCCACTGTGATTATAGTCTAATGCTAATGGAAATATTCATGTAATTCATATTTATGACCTTAGTGAGAACCAGCTCAACTTGCGTACAGATGGCCAGACATTTCCCGGGGAAATATTTTCACTGAAAAACATTTCACTGGGTCTGAATGCTTTGATGACTCCTCTCAGGTTTGACTACATTTTGCCAAATCAAAGGCAAATCCTCCAGTCCTGCCAGGCTGCTTCAGAGCAATCAATCTACTGCTGCCAAGTTTGGCAGGTCTGGGACTGATCAACCAGAATATTTCCAGAACAGAAAACCTGAAAGCTTTGACTGTCAAAAGCTGGGATAGGTTCACATAACTAATTTGTTCTGGGTCAATCTACATAATGGATTTGCCCTGGAATTACTGACCCTGGAAGCAGTTGGGTATGGTGTTTCCAGGTCTGGAATGATTGTCTGATAACTGAACAATTACAAGATCCTGTGGCTTGAGAGTCTACAGAATGGGTCTGATGGTCTTAATAAAGCCTTCTTAGAGTCTGTGAGGCACGGTGCAGAAAAGCTCTGAAGGGCTCAGGTGATCTCTTAGACATAGCAAGCTGTATGCAAAATCCAGGACCTAAAAACCCCCATTGGCTTTTCCATTCTGCCTTTTAATCTTGTCTGCATGGTGAAGCATTCTGAAGACTTCCAGAGCTGCTCAACAGCGCTACTTTGTCAATTCCTCTAGTCTAGTGTCTTAGGCTCAAATGTGGCACATTCAGAAATTCTTCTTTTATGGAAAGTTATATGTATATATATGTTTACATATACATATATATGTGATTATATATAGAAACACAGATAGACATATACATACATGTATATATGCACACACGTATGCATACATATAAAAAGATACATGTATGTATGTGTGTTTGAATTTAATTCTGGGAAGAAAGTCAGAATGGCAAGAAACCATTAAAAAGGGTAATCTCCACAAAATGTCACACTTATGGGAGCATCTAATGAATGCAGAAAAACCATCAAGTAGTCTGTTCTATATAGCAATAGAGACACTACAATACAAAAGATACCTTTATTTGTAAGAAAAGTAATGTTACAAAAGTAAAGAAAGCAGTCTGGAATACGAAGAATACTTTCATTGTTATTCTCAGCTACATAGGTTTTAAAGGCCCGTTCTCTATTTTTTAATTATTTTTACCCTTAGATTATTTTATTCTTGCAGTCAAACTCCAAATTTTAAAGGAACAATTCTCTGAGTTTTTGGTCACTTATCTCTTTTCTCTCTCTTGCCAGGGTACTCAATTTTTGAATTTAGCTGAATCAGCACGAATCCAACTGTGAACTGTAAAACAGTTCTGGAAAACCACTCAGTATTTCATTTCAATGTTAGCACACAATGCCACCCAATATCAACCCCACAAAAGTATTATAGTGTGAAAAGCAGATTTCTAAAGGTTTGCTTCCACATTTGACATGTGATTTTTATCCGACCCATTCAAACAACTCCTGCACAAAATGAGGAAATCAGTATTGTTAGGACTCTAAGTGTATTCACTACAGTTTCTACTTCTTTTATTCCTTTTTTTCTAAAAAGCAATAAGAAGTTTCATTAGTTCTAAGAATTGAGTGTTAAACACTAGGTATCTGAAAAAAAGATAGCTTAAAATAAAAATTTTAAGTAAATTAAAACCAAACTGAAACACAACCAAAGAGAAAAAAAAAAACCACCGCTGCTGACTCCTCATATTCTGTTAATTGATGTCCTTTAATGAGTCTTAATTACTTTAAATGAACAAGAAAATCTGAAATACTTCTGCATTTCTAGAGTATTTTCATGATCTTTATACAAAGAAGTCTATTGCATTTATGGAAAAATACATATCTAGGTATTAGTAAGTTGTGCTGATGGATAATAGAAGAGCAAACAAGATTAATTAATTAATGTTAGGCAACTCAGCAAGTTGGTGCCAAGCCAAAGAAATTGAAACCCCTTTATTTAATCCAGGTATAAGATCACTCTTTTGGAAATGGCAAAAACACAGCATCTTTAGTATCTCAAGGTGTAGGGATAGTTGAAACTTTGGAAGAATTTGTAGCAGAAAGCTACAACTCATTTTACTTAGGAAGACTGCAAAATGCCTTCTCAAAAAGGTTAGATTTTTTTTTTCCTTTTGCAGAGGGAGTTGCAGAGAGAAAGCTGTGTTATCTCTCTCTGCTATGCTGGAGAGAGATAAGCCTCACAAACACGTACAGGGCCCCAGCAGCTGAGAGAAGGTGTGAAGGATAGGGAAGAGAAGACAGAAAGTCCTGGAGAGGACAGGGTCTTGCCTTTTCTCCCTGGTGCCCCGTGCTTCTACAGCACTGAGAAGTATTTGTAAGCTTTTTGTGCTCTGGCCTTCTAAATAAACTTTTTGAAAATTCATTGGTTGAACATATGTGAGATAGTGGGATAACTTCTTGGAAAAAAAAGCTGGGGATACAAGACCCATCTTAACTGTTGTGGAATTTCTTGCTTCAGACAGACAGAACATAATGAAAAAGATTTATTTTGCATTTAAAATAACAAAAGAAGAAAAAGCTGGAAGAAATGGGGGATCCTCTGAAAAGTTTAGCAAAGATAGTTTAGCTCTGCATTGAAATATTTTGCCTTCTTTTAGATGAATTTGACAAATGAACATTTAAAAAGTATGAGAAGTGACTTAGTGACCTTAAACTGGGACTTTCTGGCTGAAAAGTACCCACATTACTGAAAGTGCTTCAGACATACGGATGAAAGTAATCTGTAGAGTAGTACATGTGTTCATATGCTCTATTGCTATCCTATCTGAATGTCACAGTGCCACATGCACCAAAATGGGATCATGAAAATACACAAATGGCTTAGCTGATCTCATCTGGACTTGGAAAAGTTCAGATAGGCCTGACCTGCAGTAATATATTGCAAAATCCAAAGGAGATTGAGCCTACATATAAACAGTTACCTATAACTTCAGCTTCAGATCCAATATATCCAAAATAAAAAAGTATCATAAAGTTAATAGTTTGGACATTAAAGTTTTCTTTCATTACTTCTTTCCTCAGTGGTGAAAGTAATAGTTGGTTTTGACCTCATGACAGCTCAGAAGACAGGTGCCAGCCAAACAACACAGAGGATTTCATCATTTTCATTTTAGGAAAACTGAAGGAAGATCACATGCTGGGCAGGAAAGCATGAAGATTGTTTGATAAGATTCCATTAAAGTGAGCTGACAGCAAGGTTAGAAGTGAACTGGGAAAACCTCACCTGGGTAATATCTGGGAAAGAAACAATCAGCTTGACATTTCACATTATCAAAATGAAAGTCAAGTGTTCCTTTTTAAAGGCAGTACATCCAATACTGGGATCCATCTAACGCATTCTGACTGAAGAAATCATTTTCTTCCTGTGGTGAACATGACAGAAGAAAAGTTCTAAAATCACACTAAATATTGTAAGAAGTATTGCTGTAAGTGTGCTGTATCTTGCCTTGCTACATGATGATATTCAAAGACTCATTTAATGCTAAGCTAACTCCATTTTTGATTTTTTTTTAATTTAAATATTCTGTCATAGCCTCATTAGCATCTGATTACTAAGCAGTTAGTTAAGGAAAAGGACAAAGAAGGAAAATTAGATGCAACATTATAGGGCATATTTTCACCTTGATGAGCAAGAGAAACTCATTAGGGGTTACTGAAAGTCATACACATGCTTCAGAGGAATAATGTCCTCAAGGTATTTTGTAATTATTAAAATGTCAAAGAAACAATATCTATTTTTTATAGATAAAAGAGCAATTTGTCAATAACAGATAGGAATACATGTAAGGAAAAAACTACACAGACAGGAGAAATATAATTAGACAGTTAAGGAATTGCTTTTTTGATGTGATGGAAGGAAAAAGGAATTGTAAGAATAAGATAATTGTAATTTGAAAGCTAAAATTTTTAAATGTATACAGAAATTAATAACAGTTTCTTCACTACTTGGCAGGGGCTTCTGAATGTTGTCTTCTATTCCTTTTTTGAAGGGAAGGAGGATGTGGGATTTGAAAGAAATAGCTGAGTATTGCTGAACACCAAACAAAATGCATATGTGATCTGACCAGGTACAAACTAAACCCTCTGGAAATGAAACAATACTGCAATAAGATTTTAAGCAGGAAAGGCACAACCTCTATTAGCCATGTGTCTGATGCTTCAGTGCTCTGCTGGAAGAGACAGAATATGCAGTGTTTGACAGGATCAGCTTCAACTCCCATCACTCACATGTGTACACACACACATAGCAGATGAGTTATTTCCCCTTAAATTCATATTATTATTGACTTAGTTTTGGATTATGAATTTTTTTCTAGTTTGCCAGTGACACACTGACTCAAACACTTAAAAAACCATCAAAATCTGAATAGCACTGTCAGCAAAATGGCTTTATCAGAAAATACAGAGAAGTTTTGTTTCCCAACCACTATCATTAATTTAGCCTTGTAGAGGAACTAAAATCACCCTATCAGCTTAAACTCATGAAAAGGGTAAGCTCCTGAACAGCATTTAGAAACATTTGGGCTCAGGTGAACTATTTTTATTCACACATGCTGCCTTCTGAAATCTAGACAGTTTGTACAGAGGCATTCTCAGCTCCAATTTACCATGGCAAGAACTTTTAGCCCTGACATTTATAGAGAAAGTAGCATAACCTGTTCTGACCTTTCAGTAGACACTCCTGAAAGAACCAATACTTATGGGTCAATGACCATTATGTACATTCTGTTGATTTGCAAAGTCTTATCAATATACATCTGTTTCCTTTCTTAATTATTTATTTCTTGGCCAGACACAGGATTGCCCTACAGTCCATTTAGGAGCTTACTTCTCTATGTTTTGCTACTACACCATGACCACAATGCATCTGTAATAAATGCTGCCTTTTTCACCAAATTCATCTTGAAGACTTAAATATATGAGATCAACCACAAGAGCTCCTCAGTAGCAGCAGTGTGTGATTTAAGGATCAAATTAGATTCTATTCTTCCTGTGAAAATGTTAATGGTCATCACATAGAAGTGTGTAACGGCTTCGAAAGTGAAGGCTGATGAGAAAAGGTTTTGGGTATTAAAAGTGACAAGCTGGCAGCACTGTATTCCCTCTGTAATCAGAAAAGAGGAGAATCTCTAGCTGCATCCAAATTAGTAACATTCTGATGCTCGGTCACATGTTACTTTTGCCAAAGCTGTGCAGTAAGTGCAGCTGCCCTTCCACAGAGAGATCCCTTGGAACATTGAAGTATCTGCGTGCAAACACATGAGGATAAAACTAAGGCAATATTTTTTATTAATTAAATTTTAATTATACAAGAGGACCTACAATAACTGTACCAATAAAGTGAACTGAGAAAAATACAAAAGCTAAAATGCAATCATTGTATAAAGTATATTTTATAAATTTTATATTCTGCATTTTTAGACAATTCAAATAAAAACAATGCAAAGTAAACAACAGGAACAGAAGTAAGCCACTGGGAACACATAGAAAATGTGTAGGTAAAACACATAAATGTCACTTTGAGCCAGAAACCCATCCCTGTTGAACAACGATGTTTCTATCTCAGGTATTATTTCGATAGCCCCAATAACAAAATTCCTGCCACAGATTGCAATTCCACATTCCCCTCATTATTCAGACCAGTAGATATCATGTCATTTGACAGTGGAAAATTCCCATACCTCCAAAGATAATTATATACGGACTGTAATGTTGTAAAGCATTACAAATTAGTGTTGAGTGCTGCTGGAATAGGTTCTTAGCTTTATTTCCCCATTTAAAAGCAGAACCAATCAGACTTAAGCAAAATTAAGTCTTTAAATCAAATTTCTTAAATGGGAAATATAGGTTTGCTCAGTTATTTTGATTCAGTAATCATTTTGATACCAGCATGAATCAACAAAGAAACTCTTGGGATAGGCAAACAATTTTTTTCACTACTGTGACTCGAGAAGCTACTAATGCTGTCCACAGGAATAATGCAATTGATTGTGTGTAAAATCACAATAGTGACAGTAGTGGTCTGGAAATAACTGTTTTGAAATAAGCTAATTTAGGTGCCAGCTGCAGATTAGCAGAGTTTTATGTACACTTTCAAATGTGAGAAGCTATGTGATGTCAAGCCTGTATGGTTACTGCAGATGTCTCTAGTTTTCTCAGCTGCTTTTACAGCCACTTTACATTGCAATCACATTGCACAGTGGGGCAGTCTGAGTGCAGCTAAAGGGTTTATGAGGAACCAGTACTTGAGTATGGTCTTCCTCACAGTCCTGTAACGTATGTAGGAGGAATTTGAAACCAGGATGGGTAATGTCACTAAATAATTTATTTGCACCCAGTACTTCAGTGTGCAAATTCCTATAAAACATGTGGAAAACAATCCTGCAAGTAGCCTGTTTCCAAGAAAGCACATGGCCTCAGGCTCCTGCCTGTCCTCTTGCTTCAGTGAGGTTGAAATCTGCTCTTCACACAAAGATTATTCACAGATACTTTTCTAGTTCTCTCCTTGGGTGAATGGGCTGGAATCCAATGCAAAAATGATACCTGTTGTTCATGGTTTTCTTGTTTTATATAAAGTTTGTATTCATTATTAATGGGGACTTAGAGAATGTTTATAGATTATTTATTTTAGAAGAACGTCTTTATCGTCCTTTTTTTTTTTCACATTCATAAGGATGTGTAACCAAAAAAAACAAAATCAGGAAGAAGGATTTCTTTACTATTATTTTATTAGGAAATCTAAAGGAGAGGACTACTATATTTTAATCATATAGTTACTATTTTTAGGCCAATCATAAGGTGATAAATGTCAAGTCATTAGTTTGAAAAGTTTAGAGTCAGCTCAATGCTAGTTCTTGGCCTGAGTGTCTTTTCTTTTTTCTATTTTTATTCTATGGCATCTTGACAATTTTTGTGATCCACACAATAAGCAAAGAGAACATAAAAAGAACTCTAAATTGCAAAGCATCTTGTTTTGAGAAGAGGGAATTCAATAATCTTTTTTTGGAAATGGAAAGGTGAACAGAATTTAAAGCCTTCAAAAAGGCACAGTCTAAAATTATAATGGTTAGTGCTAGTAAGCAAGTTAGAATATTACTCCTGTTATGCCAGTTGGCATACAAGACTTCCACTTAGCAATAAAGAATTTGCTAATGTGCCTCGAGTGTTTCTAAATTCAAATTAAATACTTCCTCATTTTGTGTGTATGCTGGGACCATTCTTTCATGGCTTGAATAGATCAAACTCTATTACTCAGGCTGCTGTACCCAGCTTGATGCAAAGATGAGAAAAACTAGGATAATTTTAGAGGTTGTTTTTGACTCAGAGTTTCTTAGCTCATAGTTTTACTTTATGAAAGAACTTACCAGTTGAAATCATGTATGTATTAACAGTAACAAGCATTGCAATGTCAGGACAGGTTAACAATCCTTCATGTCTAGAAAGCTCCACGTTAACCAGTGTGGCATACATTAGAAATAGAATTAAAGCCATCAAATGCATGTCACCTGTGGCAAAAAAAATGTTTTTCTTTATCTGTTTAGTAATCATTTGAGATACTTATTTTGCCATTACAAATTCCTTTTTTTTCCTGCATATTCATATCTAGGTTTTCTTGAAATTGAAAATACTTATTTTCTCTAATTTGAGCTGATTTAAAAGCTATGATTTTCAGAACATACTGAGAACTTCCCACTCAGTGATACTTCATTTGAGTACAGAAAAAGATAAGACATCCAAAATGACTACTTATTTGTGCAAACCTGGAAATAAATATGTAATATTTCCCTGAGTGTTCTTTAGGCATTTGCTTTTGAAAGAGTTCATAGCAATGACCTAAAATTCAAATCACACAAGTTAGCTCAATAGACAAATTTTGATTCTGTATGCAGCACCTAAACTGGGCTGCTACAGCTTGTCTCTGAGAAGGTGTCAATTCAGAAAAGGCTAGAAACCCTAATTGTGCCATTTTGTGGTTGAGTCATGCAGAGGAAGTGCTTTCTTTAGTCCTGTGTTCTCCTTCTCTCTGAGTGCATATAAAATGGTACAGCAGGCTAGCAGTAAGAAAATAATTTCCCTTTCTGTTTGCATAGTATGTAACATTTTGACTTACTATAAATTAACACAAAGCCTCATCCTTAAAAGCATCTCTGTTCACCTCTATCAGTGCTGTCTAGGACTTTTCCTCGTAGGGGAACACTGTG